CTCTCCAGCCTCAGGAATAATATTTTTAAATGAATAAAGACATAAAATGAACTCCCCGAGATCTCTCTCTCTCTCTCTCTTTTTCTCTCTCTTTCTCTCTCTCTTTCTCTCTCAATACTCTATAGAACTTGGTTCACAGAAAATATTGATTTGAGGATTCATCCAGAATTTTTCTTTTCTTCTTCTTTTTTTAAAAACAGAGAACTTAATTTTAGTCAGTGAAATTTCTGATATAATCTGTACTAGTCTGACAGATCTCATACTTGGTTGAAATTATCTTTTAATTTGTTCTTCTTTGGTAAGCAGTTACTCAGAAAGGGTTCCAACAACTCCTTCATGACAGTCATGTCTTATATAATTTACACTTGGTGAGAGTGAACTAAATACTCATTTCTAAGCAACAGAACAGAGCAGGAGAGACAGGCTGTCATATCTGAAATTAAGTCATAGAGTAACTTTGCTCTTTCACACTCTGGGCCTCTCACTGTTGGCTGGTTCTGTTTGGAAGAAGTCAGCTGCCGTGAAAGGAGGTGGCCATGTGAAGAAGACCACCTGAGTGAGTTTGGAAGCAGATTTATTCCTCATTGAAGCATGAGATGTTTTTGCAGTTTTGGCTGACACCTTGATTGAAACCAGTAATTCTGGGCCAGAATTACAAGGCTAATCCACTCCCCAATACTTAGCCCACAGAAACAGTGGAATGCATGTTTACATATTAGGACTTCTCAGTTGATAAGAGTCGAAATAATTTATTACAAAGCTCTATATAACTAATATACCATGCACTGTTCTTGGATTTTGCTCCAAATGTACCATGTTTAAAGCATTACTAATATGGGAAATCAAGATGCTTATTCAGAATATATACTTTTGTCATATCTGAGTTAAAAATTTTAAAATATGTAACATTTGTTTTTGTATATATATTAAAAATTCGACCAAAACAAAAAATTTTAAAAGTCTGCTATTTATGCTAATTATCTCATTCAGTCTTTATAAAACCCTTCTGAAACAAGAATCTATCATCACCCTATTTTTAAAAGAGCATTTTTAACATGTTCAAGGACTATCATGCAATGCTGGTGTTCAAACTCAGGCCTTCAACATGTGAGTCATGTGCACTACCACTTGAGATACTTCCCGACCCTTTAATCACCCTATTTTATTTTTAAATTTTTATATTTGGGGGGTTGGGGACACACTCTGTGGTTGTCAGGGCTTTCTCATGGTTCTGTGCCTCAGGAATCACTCCTAGTAGTGTCTGGGGGATCACAAGAGGTGCTAGGTATTGAACTAAGGTTAGGTTCTTGTCTTGCACACAGCAAATCTGAGTTCAAATGGGCTCTACGATTGCTCTGTCCCAATAGGTTTTTATTTAACTAAAAGAAACGTAAGGGATGAGAAATGTACGCAACTGGACAAAGCATATAGGTTTTAAGTTAGAAAGCCTGGTTCTAAACCACTTAGTCTGTGGTTTAAACAAAAAAGGATGCCTCTTAAACAAAAGGATGGTTTAAACAAAAAAGGATGCCTCTTAAACAAAAAAGGATGAATATAATATCAAAGTAGGTCAGATCACCTTAAAATCTGTCTGTAAGTACTACAAGAGTTACTTAATAAGGACTAGAGTTTTCACAATTAAAATATAAGATGGTATTAATCTTTCTGATGAAATCATGCAAGAAGTAACTGCAGAAATGAAACAATATATATCAAACAATTCACAAACTTCTTGAATACCTACTATGTACCAGGCTCTTTGTTGGGTGTCTCTTTCTTAAGTAAAAATTTATTCTTCTAACATTCTTCTCAAATACACATTATCTTCTATTAAAGAGAGGCAACTGATGTTTGGAAATATCCATGGCAGTGCTTGGAACTGAATATGGGTCTGATTGATGTTAAAATTCCATCTCTTGGGGCTGGAGCAATAGCACAGCGGGTAGGGCGTTTGCCTTGCACGCAACTGACCCAGGTTCAATTCCCAGCATCCCATATGGTCCCCTGAGCACCACCAGGGGTAGTTTCTGAGTGCAGAGCCAGGAGTAACCCCGGTGCAATGCCAGGTGTGACCCAAAAAGCAAAAAAAAAAAAATTCCATCTCTTCTTGAGACACTTGGTAGTAGTTTAATTTCTTTCAGTGGAGAGAGGATCAAATTTAGAAACTTTAGAATGTTACCCCTCAACTTAGTAAGTCATAATCAGGCCAAAGAAATTCATAAATTAATAGAGTAACTCCCCATTTTAGCCGGAGACCCATCTGATGACAGGAATGCGTGGTGTAGCCTACCATTCCCGGGTGAGCGCAGTCGAGTCTCATGACCATCCTAGGAAGCAGTTGCTCCTGTGCTATTCACTGATTGGGTCTGTGTGGCAGAGTGAGATATGAAATGATAAACATCTGGGGACAAACTTGGATCATTTTTTATAGGGCGGAAAGGCTTCCAAGTGGTGCTCAGGGGGTCTGGGGATCACTTCTGGAAATTCTTGGCCCACATGGCTTGGTGGTCCAATGCTTGGACCCTGTACTGTGTTGTGGCCCAGCTTGGATTCAAAAGTGCAGGGGACCCCCAGGGACATACATGGTGGAGCTCCAGGGAAACACTTGGGGAACCATGCGTAGTACTTAGGGAACCATGAGTACTGGGGATCAAACTGAGGTCTTATGTGACCCTTGAGCTTTTTCCCCATCCCACATCAATTTCCTACCCACTGTTCACATTAAGGAGGAAGCAGACAGGCACCTGAAATGGTTGATCAGCATTTAACTGCAGCTACTTAATGAAAGACTAAATGCCTGTGTTGAGAAGAAATATTATCTCTCCCCGTTCCGTGACCTCCCACACCATATCAATAAAAATAGGGGTGTTCTCATGAGGGTAAAGGACTGTAATAATCTGTTGCACATGGTCTGAAAAAATTCATAAAAGTGTTATGTGAACCAAAAATCCTAAAACAAAGGTACCTAGGCTCTTCAAGTACAGTAGTAACAGCAGGATAATTCAACAATGAAATCAGGGGATTTTATATTTCTGGACCCAATTGCACTGTGACAACAAGCAGAAGCTGCTACTGCAGAATTAGCATTTCCTGGTCCTTGGAAGGTCTGAACTTCTACCCTGTTTTCAATCACCTGCCTTTACCTCTGGGAGTCTGCCACACCAAGGGAAACTTGCGTTCACATCTCTCAGGCTTGGCAATTGATTCCATTTGGGGCATAATTGGAATAAAACTTTAAAAACAACAAAAAAGTCTAATCTCTTGACTCCCACCTCTCTTGAAAGCAGTAAGAGTTTCTGAATTCTGTGTTTATATTCACTTGTTTCAACCACTGTGTTGTATCAAATAAGTTCTTGGCTGGGTAATTCTAGAAATATACCTAAGCTCTCCCTCTTGCCCCAAGGAGTGTAACAGCACTGGGACGTGGTTAGGCAGGCTCGGGCAGACTGGCCAGGCTGGAACACGGGTTCTGTCTCCAGTGGTGTGATCTGCTCCTTCCGCACAGGCCTGTGCTTCTGACTCTGAAAATCGAGATAATAGGACTTTACCCTCTGGGGCTGATGCAGGCTGATGCATGTAAAGCATTTAGAGCAACGTGTGGCCCAGAGCAAGCATGTCCAGAGATACCATTTGCAACTACTGAATAAATCTTCTAGGTCACTATTTATCATGTAGGTGCCAATCCTGAGCTAAACCTGATCAAAGGTATTTCCATTCCCATGTTCCTGAGTAGCATGAGATTGGCTTCATAATGAAACTGTCCAATGCAAAGATTCAACTCTTGAGAAATCCATTTATTGCAAGTAGTAACTATTTTATTGACATATTTACAAAATATTACAAAGCAAATATCATTCTAATTCATCATATTACACAGAGCTTCATACAGGCAAGACAAAGTATATGGAAAAAAATTTTTACTTGTCTTTGGTATTAGAAATCTACACAAATTCGCAGCATTGAAAGTTTCCAATAAAAAGTATTAAACATAGACAAAATTGTAACTGGTAATGTCATGAAAGGGGGCTTGAATAGCCTCTGCTGGGGAAAACCTAGGTCCATGAAATGCAACAGGGAGACCAAACACCATTTGTATGGAAGGGAGTCTATTGGCTAAAATAATAATAAAAGAAACAGACAAGCTACAATACTGTACACAGGAGTGTTTTGAATTATGTGAAGTTACTCTCTCCATGACAACAGCTTGGCTGACAGTAACTGACAGGACAGTCTCGAGACACAGTGTGGCAGGTAAGACTTTATAGCAAAGTATCTACTCCAAGAGGACACCTTATGGGTATTAACATTCCTGTACAGCACATTTTATAAAATCATTTTCATGATCATTTACACATATACAAAAACTTAACTAGTTTTAGCAAATGATAATTTTTCTAAAACACAATCACAGTTTACATAATAATGAGGTAAAGATGCTGAGTCTATCCGATTTGAGAAGTTTCTAGCACAGGAGGGTCTTGAAAGGAGTGTGTGTCCTCAGAACTTCAAATTCTGCCAAGGGGACTAGAGAAGGGGCAGGTTACCCTCAGATCAGAGGTGATTCGAAATTTCAGAGCTGTTTCCAGCTTTGCTGCACCTAATTAATGCTTTTAATGCTTCCTTTTTTCTTCAAACATGAAACACTCTCCCATTCTTGTCAGAACATGACAGTTGCTAGGAAGAAAATACTTTAGGAGGAAAGGGCCAAGTTAGTGTCTTAACTTGACTGTCTTGACTAGGGATTCTATAGCTCCCAGGAAGAGCACGTTTAGACTCCTCACATAAAAAGCGAAGACGTGGTCAAACTAATGCACTGCAGTGACATCTCCCATCAGTTCCCATCCACCCAGCGAGTTCCCCTCACGTGGAAGAGGCTCAGTGAGAAGCTCAGAACCCCGAGTAAAGGTGATCAGGAACGTCTGCTGACTCCTTTTGTGCCAGCTGTGCTTTCTTTCCTAGTCCTGGACAGAGCAGGACTCTGAATACGCCCCCGCCCCCCCCAACAATGTGAGAAACAGCAAATATGTCCCAAGTCTTTTTGCTGGGGGAGGAAAAGGCAGGTATTAATCAATGTTGTTTCCTTAAAACAACTCAGCTAAATTCTAGCCCTTGATCTGTTTCTGTAAACAATGCTACCTTCGATTAGTTGCAAATACCTAAAATACACCAGGCTGAGAGGCAAAAAGTGAAGAATGATGTTTCAAAATAAATCTATGGAATTAGGAAGGTGGTGAAGATTTAACGCTCTTTGACGTATTTTTTTTCTTTTTTTTTTCCTCTGTATAAAGAAGCATGTGAATGTAATTAGGACATCAGGTGAATAATTAAAACCCCTCTGGGATTTAACACTTCTGAAGCAAACCTGAGCATTTGCCTCTTAACTTTTATCATGAGGAGCATCTGGGGGTAAAACTGCCAGGCCATGAGTCACCTTGGGAGGCAATTTAAGAGCAGTGTTGCTGGACCTGTCCAGTAAGCTGCCCAAATGGCAGGATGCTCATTTTCCTTCATGATGGGAAAAGCAGAATACACTTCTGTTTCTTTGAACTATTAACAATCCTGGTGAATGGCCATGAGGAAAAAGTAAATATGTGTTAAGCATTTACTAATGACTGGTGTCCCTGGTGTCTGATTGGATGAAGTTAAAAAGTAACAAGAACCAATGTGTTTGCAGGGCTCTTTGGCGAAGAGAAGCTCTTGGCTTTTTCCTGGTCCCTGACAATGACAGACTGGCAGGCTGTTTCTTGCACAGCTCGGGGCAAACCATTAATCTGTCAGTACCAGCATCTTTTGAAGCCCCAGCATTAAGACTAAGAGGGGAAGAGGAAGAGGATGTTTGCCTGGTCACATATGCAGCTTTTTGAAACACTTTAGTTCACAATGCTGTGCAGACTTTGGATCCTTCCTTCTCTGACTTTCAATGTAGGGAGCAATGCTGGGCTGGAATTTATTCATCCTCTTCCACATAGGTGGATGGAAACCAGCCCACCTGGAAAAGAGAAGAAGCAACACACATCAGGACTCTGCCCTGGCTAAACTGGAAAACCGGGGATTTATGCCTGGCAGGTGGCAAAGGTTGATCAAATGGCTCCATGACTGCTTGAATGAATGCTGGGAAGAGAATAATCTAATGCTCTGAAGTTGCGATCTCATCAACTAATACACAGAAAAGAAAACTCTGTGTAAGCAGGGCTTCTGCTACTTCAAGCTTCCTATTTCTGCTATAGAATCAATAGGGAAAGACTGGGGCGCTATGGCCGACTCTTTCCAATTTATATCAAAAGAACATAAGAGCTATTTTATGCCACTAAAAAACTGATGCTCTGAGATGTAGTGGCTGAAGGATGGGAAAAGCTTCTCAGTCCCTTTTTCCCAAATGGGAAGTTCATCAAACTTGCCCCAGTGAGCTTTATGGATGCTATCATCGCACTCACTCGAAACAGTGTCCTCTGACCAGGGAGGGGCTCTGAAGCTGAGCCACACTGGGGGACAGGATGCGGAGGGAAGGCAGCAGTGCAGCTGAGGGGCTTCTACCGTGCAGTAGGAAGGGTGCCTGCACCTCCCACCCCCGCTTCACCATGTGACGCACACAAGGAGAGAACAATGTGTACCCGGCCATTGACTTCTCCTCTCCACCAGCCATTCGCGCTCATCTTCGTGTAGATCTTCACCACGTCCCCTTTCAACAAGGACAGTTCCCGCATGTCCCGCGCACAGAAGTCATAACGTGCAATGGCAATCCCCAGCACTTTGGGACTCAGCACTGTTGAGAAAAGAGGGCAAGTCAGGGTTGATTTGCAGTTTAACGACCAGAAAAGTCTGATCAGATGAATGTTGCAGATGCTATCAAGATGCACGGCCGTGATTTCATTCCAGACTAGTGATAATGGCAAAGGAGCTTGAAAGCAGCAGAATTGCTGTTTCAATTCAATCAGGTACAGTCACGTTTGTTTCATAAAGTTCAAAGAATCACTGTTCTGTTCTCACAGGCTTCATAAGAACTTTAAATATGATTCACACAACTGAGTTGGGGGTGGGTGGGAGGGGTTTGAGGGTCCAGGGGAGAGGGAGTAGGTACACTGGTGATGGGTGTGGTGTTAGAATTATGTGCATGAGAAACCCTTATCAATAGCATTGTAAACTACTGTATCTTAATTAAAATTTAAAGCAAAAAGAATTCTAAACACAGAACTCCTTTTCAGAAATACCTGAGTAAACTGCTATCACTACCTAAGGTGACAGAATGTAAAATAAAAAGAATCTAATGTAACTAGCACAAATTTCCTACTAATAGCATTAAAAAAAGCTGTTTCTAACTAGAAACTCGACAATTACAGCTTTATTAATTTTTTTTATCCTTGTAACTTTTCTGACTGAAGCTCAAAACAGTCCAGGATTTTCATGTTAAATATGTCATCACTTCCACACTAGTTTTTTGTGTGTGTCTATGTTTTAAAATGCTTTAAGGATAAACTCAGTTATTATTTTAGCTAAAATTCCCCTGATACGAGGAAGCTTAAATTAAGTTTCATAAAACACACTGCCATTTCATTCTTTCAAATAAATACTGCCTCACAAAACACTTTTACTAACATATGTAATGAAAAGAAGCTGTGCAGGTGCCCATCTATATTCTCTCTGTGTATATGGCAGGAGTGGGGGTGGGGTTGATTTTTAAGCTTTTTCTTTTTTCTTTTTTTTTTTTTTTGCTTTTGGCATCATACCCGATGATGCACAGGGATTACTCCTGGCTCTGCACTCAGGAATTACTCCTGGTAGTGTGCTCAGGGAACCAATGGGATGCTGGGAATCAAACCCAGGTCAGCTGCGTGCAAGGCAAATTCCCTACCTACTGTGCTATTGCTCCAGCCCTGATTTTTAAGCTTTAAGAGGAGACAGAGTGCTTTTTCATCGGCTCTGTCCCGGAAGTAGATCAAGCTGTGTGTTTTCTTGTCTGCACTGTTTCATATCTCAGTTTACATCAGTCTTTCCACTTGTTGCTTTGTGGGGTTAGAAAATATTTTCAATTATATGGACAGTGATTCTGAGAATCACTCACCTGGGATTGGTGGGACTTTAGAACCCTGAAATTTTAAAGAATTTTGAGAATGAGATAAGAAAACAGATGGCAAATGCCCTGCATCTGTATCCGTGGCACACACAGGCAGCCCAGCTACAGCTTTGGCTTCCCTGGAGGGCCAGCCAGCCTGGAGTCAGGACTTTGCACTAACAAGTTTTTTTAGTTTCCAGGTGTCGATCATGAGCATTGCAGCAGATGTCAGGACTGCAAAGGGAGTAAAAGTGGTCATTTTATTTTACTGTTTGGACTCAAACCACTTTGCTCGTTTTCTTAGTGAAAACTGTCCTGTTATGGGGGCACCATTCTTAGAGTCGGTTAAACATAAAATACCCCGATCATCAATTCAAGAGTGTGACCTCGCCTGGGTCTCTGAACTCCTTTAAGCCCAATTTTTTCACTTATAAAATGAAAGATCTCTTCAAGAAGATTTCTAAGTCCTTCTAGTTATAAAGTTTATGACTGCACTGGGAGTTACAGGTTAATTTTTTTAAACAATCTATAGGAAAACCTGTTTTAGCCCAAATGCAATTCCTGATATTCCACAAGTACCTTCATTAAATAATCTAAGTGACAGAAATCGAGACCAAAATGCCCATGCACAGAATAATGAGAACATGATTTTGGTATTTTCTTAATTTTAAAACTTTAGCATGTTCTCTTTCTCAATGTCTCTCTTTCTCTGTCTCTGTGTCTGGCTTGTCTGTCTCTCTGTCTCTGTCTCTCCTACCTTTCAGGTCTTACCCAACAGTGCTCAGTGCTTACTTCTGGGTCGCACTCAGGGATCACTCCTGGCAGTGCTCAAGGAACCATATGTGATGCCAGGCAGGGATTGAACCTGGGTAAGAAATGTGCAAAGCAAGTGCCCTACTCACTACACTATTGTTCCAACATGTAAGCATGTTCTTAAATAAAAGTTATGATCCTCAAAAAACAAATGATTCTTATAAAGTACTTCATCCCTCCCTTTATACCTTTGTCCCTGTTCCCTTTTAATCTCTTCCCAATAGATAAAACAGAAAATTTTTTAGTGAAATACATAAACACACACACACACACACACACTACTGGAGGGGTAAAATGTCATGGCAAACAATGGTTTTATGACAGAGATAAGTGAAGTGCATGGTGGAAAAGTGACTGAGGGACTGTTTGGGAGAAGATGTATCTACATGAGAAGCCACACAGAGAAGTGAAAACTGCAGCAAGTTGAAAAGACATATAAAAGCAATAAAGCAGTACCTGACCAGAAAGGAGTGGAAGAAGGGGGAACAAAGCTGTAGTCTGGAGGAGTGACAAGAGAAAACCCACAGAACAAAGAAGGGGCTTTAGAGAAAGAAAAAGAGAAGCAAAAGAGCATTTAGGTATTGGCAAACAAATATTTAAAAAATTCATTTTGTTCCTGACGATCACAAGAAAATTGTTGGACTACCAAACTTTACTTTTTACTTATTTTTCTGTATCAGTATTTCTAAACACAGAATAAACTGAATATTTACATTGGGGTGGGTGGTACACACACAGTGATACTCAGCGTTTACTCCTGGCAGGTCTTAGGGGACCATATAGGATGCCAGGGATTGAATCCAGGTCAGTTGCTTGCAAGGCAAATGCCCTACTCACTCTATAGTTGCTCTGGCCATGAATGTTTTAATTTTGATTGGTGTTTGTTCTGTAATTCATAGCAGTCTCTCCATTTACAAATGAACACAGCAATTGCCCTTACGTGGCATCACTGAACCCCTTCCACCCATGGAGGGACTTTATCTTGGCATGGTGTTCAATTCCTATTCTGTTACATCACCAGAAATAGTGAGTCCTATAAATTCTTAATGTAAAATTGGCCTCGCATCAAAATTCATACAAAGAAATGTCTTTTTTTATTTTATTTTATTTTTTTTTTTGTTTTTGGTCATACCTGGAGATGTTCAGGGGTTACTCCTGGCTCTGTACTCAGGAATTACTCCTGGTGGTGCTGGGGAACCACATGGGATGCCGGGAATTGAACCAGGTTGACTATATGCAAGGGAAGCACCCTACCCACCGTACTATTGTTCTGGCCTCCAAGAAATGAGTCTTAAGGGTGGTACTAACAGAAAATGTAGATCCCATTGAAAATGTTAGAAATTCACTCATATAATTTATGGATCATCTTTATTCTCTGCCCCCACCCCCAAAGTATAAACATGTCAACTATTTTCTCCAAAAAAAACTTAGAATACTAGTGTTCTTGTAGGGTGGTGAAGCTATTGGCAGTTCTGGCCAGTGGATTATAAGCTTAAGCAATGGTTTTCAACCTCTGGTTCTCAGCTCATTGTGGTCTGCAGGTTTAAGAAAGGTCAAAAATCATGAAGTGTCGAGGAGTAGCTTTGACACCTTGCCTGGCAAGGCGGCTGTCACACTCTTCTGCCTTTTTGTAGATTTGATTTCCAATTTATCCCATTGCATTCATGAAACTTTAAATGTGGTCAGAGGTGCCATCATGAAAATATTGATAATCTGCACAATTCCTTTATTGGCATATAACTGGTACGCTTTTTATTTCCTTGAAATCACGATATATGTTTTATTGAAGAGAAATATGGAAGGAGAGAAGACTATGTCTAATTTCACAAGTGAAACCCCTACTCTATTAGTGGCAGGAAAACCTATCCTCTATCTGTGAAGATGTAAATTAGAACCCTTCATTCCACACTTTACTCCTGAACAGGCACCCGGATTTTCTCCTTGAATTGTTTCTAAATGTTCATCCTTGAATATCTTTGTGAGAGTATTTCATCTGTGAACAAATAAGACTATTATTTCCAATGAAGGCAGCTGAAATATACCCAAATCTATTTCAGATGGAAGAATCTCAAATATAATAAAAGGTTAGTATTGGAAGGCAAAAAAAATCAATGAAAGTACAAATACTGCAATTTAAATGATCTCAACAATGGGAATATATACTTATGGGATTATTGGATAATAATCTATCATATTAAACTATCTGAGTTCCTGAAATATGTAATGCCTTACCAGTGAACCTGAGTCTTTTATATAAACAATATCACTTCTTCTCTCTCTCTCTCTCTCTCTCTCTCCCTTTCCCTCCCCCCACTCCCCCACCCCCCTACTGAATGCGACCCTGAGTGTGGGATTACCAGGTTTGGCCCTAGTAGCCCCTCCTATGAGGGAATCATTGAATATCTGTTGGTGATTTCACACGTCTTCATTACACTCTTGGGAGGTGAACTGGTCTGAAACAAATCTTCCCAGTAATCCTGTTCAACCTCCCAGAGATTTGCTCTTCATTTAAATAACTGCTGGTGTTTTTCCAAAGGCCCTTCTCCCAATGTCAATTAACATACTATTGACTCTTCCTGTTCACTTGCTTCTTCTGAAATATAAAGCCATTCCTTGACAAATTCTCAGCCCCAATATCCTAGTTCAGTACATACCCCAATATGCTATATATGTCATTTCTCAAATAGAACAACTGCTTCCAACTTTCTTCTCATTTTCCCCCAGTACTAAATCTCAGCTACTCACTCTGAATATAGATTCCTTATTCTATTTTCAAAATGATGAAATCTAAACTCTTAACCTGTGTTTCAAGGCAATTCCTGACTTCCTAGAAAATCTTCCATTACTTTCTCACACATTTTTTTTTCCATCCAAAACAACTTTTAATACTATCCAAGGAACTCAACTTGCCTTTCAACTCAAAAATTCCTACGACTTGTGAAAGCTGTTTCTTTACCTTTCCTTTGCTGATCTTAACTTCCTTGTGGTCAAAGCTGAGACCAGGCCCCTCCCATAGCTCTTCCCTGGCCAATCCACACAACACTGTCACTTTCTTTGTCCTTTCTAACCTTCTGGTAGGCATTGCATCATGGAATTACTGGCTTTGTTGTTTAATTACTGCCTGTGCTCCTGTGTTGTTCTCCTATTAGTCACTGACCCTAGAGAGCAGGGGCCAGGTCATATATGGCTTTGCATCCCCAACAGCATCAGGTTCAGTGCTAAACAACTGAGGCCGATGAATGGACAAGTATCTCAGCAGGGTATTCAGTTTTATAAGCTCCTTATGTCTCTTACTCCTGTTTGTTCAACTCATCTTTTGCTTACTTGACTTCTCAATATGACTTCCAACAAAAAAATAGCATAAAACAAAGGAAATAATGTAAAATATGTTCAGAGCACATTCCCAAAGATCCCTGAGAACCATTAACTATCAATCATGTTCCTAAATTAAAGGCCTATATTTTCTCAGCTATATGATAGCTATTAAATAGTACATTCACATAATATTGCCTATGTTATATAATAGAGGAAACTTAAGAGTAAAATGTTAATCGGTTTCTCCTGCTATCCCTGCCTATAGAGCTCCTGGCTAAACATGTTAAGAATTGCTAGGGATGCTTTCCACATTTCTACATATTGTAGTATGACTATTTGTTGTCTTGCTATGCATACATACATACATTTCTACTTTGTTTTGGTCCTCTGTTCTCTTGAGCCAGCAAAATAGCATTTGAATGCTTAGCAACTCACATAGATCTAAGTATAAGCTGAGAAGTTTCCCTAGAAAAGCATGGATTTAAATCAAGATGTAAGCAATGTCAGAAGAAGATACTTGATAATATTTTGCAGATGGGTTAACCTGCAAAATGCATAAACATACTGAGAATTTACCTATTTTTTCAGAAAGAATATTTGTCTATTTCTATATTTAGATAGGCACTTCCTATAATAAACTGTTCCTAATATGCTAAGACTAGGCTAGTATAAGAATTGTTGGTAAGTACATATTCTGAGGCTGAATTAGAAACAACCAGTGAGTGACAGTGACATTCAAACAGTAAGCAGTTGATGGTAACTCCTGACCCTTTCACTTCCTAGACTAGTATTCACCTTCCTGGATAATATTATAATAGGATGCCTGTTAGTACATCACATAGCTTGAGAGAACTTCTTGAAAGATAGTTCAAAGTATTCTCTGAGACAGTATTAACTCAGTATTGGAACTTTTAAAATTAATCATTTGCAAATGACATGCTTTATGTACAGATCTTTCCTAGTTTAAACAATTTCTATTCCTACTGGTGCCAAGTAATAATAGTAATAATAATAATAATAACAATAATGCAAAAAAAGCCTTTCTAAGAGACACCATCACATTTAGGCAGGTCTGTATGACAATTTTCACATCATACTACCTGGCATTTAGTTGGGTTAATGTTCATGGAACGTTAACAAATGAGTGCCTCATAGTTTAGTCACTTCCATATTTCTCATTAGGTAATAATAAGAATATACTTCAGTATAATTTGTCATATATTATTTATCAACTTTACCAAGCTATACAAGCAAAGTGTAAAATACAATATTTCATTAAAAATATTTGCTTAATTAGAAGTAAAAACCATCAGCATACTCACAATAAAATGACTGCCAAAATTATTAGTGAATATTATTTAGCTCTAAGACAACTACAAAGAAAGTCAAGAACACAGAAGTATGATAGTTTAAGAAAGAATAGTTTTTTTTATTATTATTTTTATTAGTGAAACACCATGTGGTACAGAGGTAGACTTACAATTTTTGTGCTTGGGTTTCAGTTATACAATGATTGAGTACCTATCCCATCACCAGTGCCCATTCTCGACCTCCAGTGCTCCCAGTATCCCTCCTACCCCATCCCAACACCCCCATCCCACCCCACCCCTGTGGCAGGTCATTCCCTTTTGTTTTCTCTCTCCTTTTGGGTTCTGTGGTTTGCAAAAGAGGCATTCAGTGGCAATTATGTTTGGTCTATAGTCTACTTTCAGCATGCATCTCTCATTCTGGGAGGATCCTCCCAACACCCTTTATTTGGTGCTCCCTTCTCTATCTTAGCTGCCTTTTCCCCTAGCATGTGTGGCTGGCCTCCAAGCCATGGAGTGAACCTCCTGGTCCTTATCGCGGCTATTCTTGGGTGTTAGTCTCCTATTTTGTTACTTTATATTCCCCAGATGAATGCAATCTTTCTATGTCTGTCCCTCTCTTTCTGACTCATTTCATTTAGCATCAGACCTTCCATGTAGCACTACTTGTATGTAAATTTCATTTCAAAAGCACTAGTGAATTGGCATCTGATGTTTATACTTTTGTTGTCAAGGCATCTCTTGAAAGTAGTATGTTCTGCCTTAGTCAGAAAATTAATGATTATGATCAAGTAGAAATCCATTGAATTTTCAGCAACTTTCTTTTTTTTTTTTAATTTTTATTAGTGAAACACCATGAGGTACAGTTGTAGACTTACAAATTTTTGTGCTTGGGTTTCAGTTATACAATAAAAATAT